GGTTGCATGTCTTCAGCACAAACATAAAATAACACATTTATCTGCCTTTAGGAATTAAGTAAAAACGCAAAGGGTAACCAAATGAATCATCTATGTAACAAAATTCTCCTTCAAAACCTCTGTATATACGGTTTATCAACAGGGGGAAAAAGAAAGTGCACATATTTGCAATTTGAAAAATAAAAGTGCACGGGGTAACACAAGCACAGCCGCCAAACTAAGAGGAAAAGTCTATACATGACTATCACAGCATCTTATCAATTGCTTCTTCACTTGGGCCTGGAGGAGCTCTATCTCAGTAGTCAGTACGGTGGTGGCGGAGGAGGATAAAGTCCAGGAAAAGGACCTAATTGAAAAGCAGAAAACAGAGACTCAGTATTTGATGACTCATATTGGCAGCAAGAAGTACGAAACATAAGAAGAAATGAAGTTACCTGGAGGATAATAGGGCGAGGGTTGTGGAGGTGGTGGATACGTTGATGGAGGATATGCTGAAGTTGGTGGGTATGGTGGGGGAGGATAGGCAGATGGAGGGGGACCATATGTGGATGGTGGATATGCTGCTGAACTAGTTGAGTATGAAGGATAGGGAGACGGAGCTGGGTAGCCTGCTGGTGGTGGTGGGTAAGGTCCAGATGCTGGTGGTCCATAAGGAGCGGGAGGCGGAGGGGTTGAATATAGATGAGATTGTGGTACATGTGGTGCTGCATATGGGGGAGCAGATGGAGCATAGCTTGCTGTTGGTTTCTGCAGTGACCCAAACACAGTAATTCAGTTGGATAGGTAATTAATATGAATACATACAAGACAATACTGTTCAATAGTAACCCGGTTATAGTGAGAAAAAGTGCAACTTACATTGGTCTTTGCATAATGCATGATTAGCCTCACTTCTCCTGCATATCTACAATGGAAAAGATTTAGTGTCAGAAGTCTTTAACAATTTTTCGATACAAAGGAATATTTCCCATAATCGTGGCAAAATGAAATGTAGATGCTAAAGGACAATTAGTTTGATGAACTTCTAGACACAAAAACCAATTCTGTGCTGCTGTTATAAAGGTAAGACAAAATTGGCTACTCAGGAAGGATGAAAAGTGTTGCAAGAACTTTTAGATATGAAACCATTCCCACCAGTTGTTTTCTCTTCTTTAGCCCAATTGTAACTCAACTTAATAAAAGGGATATATATCATACAAAATTTTAACCCCATGTCCAACCTACCGTGTCCTGAAAGGGATGCCCTGCACTACAGATAAGGAAGTATATCAATTCCCTCTCCTTTGATTTCCCCTCATTTTCTTCCTCATATAAAGGAAAAGCTCGTGACTGATTAACACGACCTAAGTTTGAGCTGTTGTAAGGATCGATAGATGGACCATAAAGCCATATGAAAGTCATTCAATTGAATTTGTATTACTTTAAAGTAATTGTTCCCTTGTAGAGTGATTTTCAGTGGAGATTCTGCAATCAGATGACACAGAAATGTCATTGTATGCTAGGGACATCAGTCTACTTAGAGTTGATTTATTTGGACCAATAGATGACCACTCGTGTTACAGCTTAAACATGGAAGGTGCTAACACAATTCGCCCCATGTTTACTCCTAAAACAACTGATAAACTAGCACGGTCCATTCATAATCCAACTTTCAAAACCCATTTCATCTAATGCAATGCAGGTCCAATACTAAGCTGTCTCATCATGCAAAAGAGTAAAATAAAAAACTTAACGAAAGGATGCAATGTGATGTTAAAGCAACAGAGGGATGGAAACATAAAGATCATTGACTTAGCATGCACGGTATACAAAAAACAACCTCCGTGCACCTAGAGTTTTGACTAAGTACAGATGGAACAGGGAGCAATAACAATTGAGGTTAAGAATTTCGGAATATGGACATTCAACTAGAACATTGTAATTTGTACAGAAAAATAACAGCACCTACATGTAATCTGATTCGTATCACCTATAAACCGTTTAGATTTTATTATAGAACAAAATAAAACAGTTATGAGCTCAAACTTATGTAGTTACCTGCCAGTTTTTGTCTGGAGCGTCCAGGCACTGTCATCATAACCCTGTGAAAGAACCTTCTGAAGTTGAACCCTAAAAATAATCACACAAATAATCCAATTAGCAAACTCAAAAACCCAGAACAAGCAAAAGGGTATCTTAAAAAATTGCCTAAATTGAGATATTCAAACACAAAGGATGAGAATCATACTTTCCCTCGCCAATAAAGTCGTCCAAGGTGACAGTATTGCTGTTCCAGACCAGAACATTCAGTTCTCTAAGACCTTCAACCAATGGAAACACGAACTTCTCTTGGAATGTAGGATTTTTACCACCGTCTACACCAGATAAATCAAATTGGGCTTAAGTCCAATTTCAAAAACCCAGGAGCAAGAACAAAACTTTAAGCCAAATTACACCAAGTAAAATTGCATAAAAATTGAAAAATACCTGTGCATGTTCTGGTACGGTGCTTGGTGTTAGCATATTCCAGACAAACATATGGGTCTTGCCGTGAAAACCATTCCGTATCCTTCAACTTGTTACAAGCAACAACTGCAGCACCAGATAATAAGATCCCACATCACAAAAACTCAGAATTGAGAAGAACAAAACCAGAAAACGGAAAATTAAACGAGAAAAAATAGAAAAGATGTTGATGGGTTATGTAAAATAAAATTGTAGGGAAGAGAAATTATACCAGTGACCTCAAGAAGCTGCCCTTGAATACCAGAAATCGACATGAACGAAGAGTTAGGAAACGAGTAGCGTGGTGGTGCAGACGAATAATGGGATGAAAATAGATATCTTGACATCTCTCCTCTGAAAGGTCTTGTCCTTTCTTATACAATAATGTAATTGCGCGTTTTGTCTTCTTTTTAATTTTGATTTTTTAAATTAAAATTTAGAACATGGTTTAGTTAAAATAATAGCCGCAGTTAATGTAATTCGACGAGGGTTTTTAATTTTTTACCAGTTCTGGGACTTCGAGGAAGAAACAGGAGGCGATGATGGTTGGTTCCGTGAAATTAATGAAATCTCAGTTTCAGCGATGGAAAGCGCGTGGAACTAGCAAGACTTGCCTTTTTTCTTTTTTGGTTGAATTAAGGAATTGACACGCATGCGTGGTTTCCTCGCAAATATGGCTGCATGGGCGGACACGCTGTCCGAACGCGGCATATCTCCGTCTCTCTAATTTGGACACACGATTTTCTTACCATAGGCAATGACATGGGGGTGATTACTCCTTCTCATTAGGAATTTCGGGTTGATATTATGATTCTATTTTTTTCTTGTTGGATATTATGATTCTATTTAGAACTTCATTGTTCGGTTGAATTATTCTTGTCACGCGACAATACATATAAAATAAGTTAATAAAATGAGTCATCAATTTAAACACATGCCTTTATTAATAATTAGATTGTATTGTCAATATGTCACTGAAGTTGTTTTTTCCCCAGTTGTATCAAGCTCAATGTATAATATATATATATATATACATATATATTATCACGCGACAATACATATAAAATAAATTAATAAAACGGGTCATCAATTTGAACACATGCCTTTATTAATAATTAGATTGTATTGTCAATATGCCACTGAAGTTGTTTTTTCCCCAGTTGTATCAAGCTCAATGTATAATATATATATATATATACATATATATTATCACGCGACAATACATATAAAATAAATTAATAAAACGGGTCATCAATTTGAACACATGCCTTTATTAATAATTAGATTGTATTGTCAATATGCCACTGAAGTTGTTTTTTCCCCAGTTGTATCAAGCTCAATGTATAATATATATATATATATACATATATATTATCACGCGACAATACATATAAAATAAATTAATAAAACGGGTCATCAATTTGAACACATGCCTTTATTAATAATTAGATTGTATTGTCAATATGCCACTGAAGTTGTTTTTTCCCCAGTTGTATCAAGCTCAATGTATAATATATATATATATATACATATATATTATCACGCGACAATACATATAAAATAAATTAATAAAACGGGTCATCAATTTGAACACATGCCTTTATTAATAATTAGATTGTATTGTCAATATGCCACTGAAGTTGTTTTTTCCCCAGTTGTATCAAGCTCAATGTATAATATATATATATATATACATATATATTATCACGCGACAATACATATAAAATAAATTAATAAAACGGGTCATCAATTTGAACACATGCCTTTATTAATAATTAGATTGTATTGTCAATATGCCACTGAAGTTGTTTTTTCCCCAGTTGTATCAAGCTCAATGTATAATATATATATATATATACATATATATTATCACGCGACAATACATATAAAATAAATTAATAAAACGGGTCATCAATTTGAACACATGCCTTTATTAATAATTAGATTGTATTGTCAATATGCCACTGAAGTTGTTTTTTCCCCAGTTGTATCAAGCTCAATGTATAATATATATATATATATACATATATATTATCACGCGACAATACATATAAAATAAATTAATAAAACGGGTCATCAATTTGAACACATGCCTTTATTAATAATTAGATTGTATTGTCAATATGCCACTGAAGTTGTTTTTTCCCCAGTTGTATCAAGCTCAATGTATAATATATATATATATATACATATATATTATCACGCGACAATACATATAAAATAAATTAATAAAACGGGTCATCAATTTGAACACATGCCTTTATTAATAATTAGATTGTATTGTCAATATGCCACTGAAGTTGTTTTTTCCCCAGTTGTATCAAGCTCAATGTATAATATATATATATATATACATATATATTATCACGCGACAATACATATAAAATAAATTAATAAAACGGGTCATCAATTTGAACACATGCCTTTATTAATAATTAGATTGTATTGTCAATATGCCACTGAAGTTGTTTTTTCCAGTGACACGTTAACAAGAAACATACAAATAAATCCCCAAGGCATTTGCTGGAAGTAAGGCAGAATGGGCTTCGCAACTAAGTTGAAATTCACAATGTTCGGGTTTGAAAAGTAGCATATATTTGTGAAATTGTCTTTGCTGGATTGCTTGTTGCAGGCAGGATAGCATAAAAACGATGGTCTAAATTATTCTAAATTACAGGGATGGGAACTCGAACTTGGATGCTAAATTACAGGGATGGGAACTCGAACTTGGATGCAAGAAGACGGTCACTGTCCTGCAAATGAATGATAACATTAAAAAGGCAATACAAAAAGAGAAGAACAAAAGACTCAAATTATACCCCAGAAAGCAGGAAATGATATATTACAGGTTTCATTTTTTCTTTTTACAAAAAAAAAAAATGAATTCCAACAATTCCCGTCACAGTTTGATGTTGATTATTCGCATCTCCAATAAATTTTTTTTTTCCTTGATCAATCCACTAACCGAAAACTTACTTCAATTACAAACTGAACGAATGGATTGAACATGACCGATTATCACCAACTGCTGGACTTAAAGCTTGCAAACCATATTATGTACAGATTCTCTAATTCCAGGCACCAACGTCAACCCCCTGATTTACTCACTTTCATAGTCGTCGTCATCTCCAAACGTGAAAACAGAGGCATCTGCGGCCATTGCCTTAAATTCACTTTCTGAGTTTGGAGCCTCGAGGCCTGGGACATTTCCACCACCAACAGAACCTTTTGGCTCACTCGCAGGAGGTACCTGTTTCGAGTCCACGTTTCCAATAGAAACTTGTTTAGTCGCATGTGTTAAACTTGCAATTTGATCTGGTTTGGTATTAGACTCAGAACTGGTGGTCGTACTGGCCACAGTTCCACCTGCTGTTGCCGAAGTTGCTTCTGCTTGCCGGCTCTTGGAAGAGCTAGATTCCTCTGCCTCACTGTCTGAAAACACATCATCCTTATCTTGATTTCCTGGGCTTTTACTTTCTTGTGGAGCAGCTGTACCCCCGTCATCCGAGGAAGGATTGGTACCTGAGCTTTCATCCGGTTTCTTAGTAGAAGTTTCAGTGTTAGGTGTCGTAGGAACATTGCCGTTATAATCCACTAAAACCACTTCAACCTGAAATCCCGGGGAAGGAAGTTTTCTCTGCAGAAAGCCCATTACAAATTACTGTTAAGTTGGCCATCCTTTTTAATATTTTAACTAAATAAGAAATTATTGAGAAAAGGAGGGTGACATGTGTGCCTTAGTATTAAACAAAATTAAAAAAACAAAAAAAAGAAGCAGACGGAGTCCTATGAGTCCAATTGAAATACAATCTCGACAACCGAGCACTCAATTCTATCATATAACGCTCCACTCCACTAAAAGCTCCCAGCTATATATCCCACACCACATGATGAGAATACGAGCAGTGATAGATGGCAAACACCAAAAGCTGAGTGATAATGCAAAAAAGTGTGCTTTCAAGGTGTAGAATGGCTTACATTGTTTCAGCCAACAGGTATAATTTGTAGGCAACATTTGATAAATAACTAAAGTTCCAGGGCATTTTTCCACTTTAACACTTCTGACATAAGACCAACCCTTAACCAACCTCACCATATGTTATTTTATCCAGGTTGTGGGGTATGGTAAAAACAAAGCAAATATATTTCAATAATTTTAAGTGCTATACATGCAGACCACCAACAATGAGTTCCCAAGGTTCTGTATTTTGCTAGCACAAAGCATACATCTTGAAATAAAAATGCAAAATCAGCAAGAGATGTACCTTGTCAAACCCATCCAGATCGTTGTTGGTTAAAACTTTTCTATTTTCAGTCATCGTTGTGTTCAACCAGCTGGGAATAAACGACAATAACAGTATTAGAACAAAAGAGAATCTGTTCCAAGTCACACAAAGCATAAACGAATGGGAAGGAAGACTACATACCAGTAAAAATCTCCTTGACGATCATGAAAATGGATTTTGAAGTCCCCAACTAACTCTGTCAAGCCAAGTTCCCCTGGCAGCGCAAAGACCATTACACCCTTCTTTGGAGCAGAAAACCAATAATCTTCTGGCTGTCAATATAATTTACATGCAAAACCCAAGTTATCATAAGGACGGCAGAAAGCTAAAAATTACTAACCGGAAAAAGGCAGAACCTTTAATGAAACCTGTATTTAACTGTTATCAAACAAAAAAAAAACCTACCGAAAGACCCTTAGTTCTAGGATGCTCTTTCGTGGAAAAGAGAACACCTGAGAGCATTAAAGCAAAGGCATCAGCATAATAATAAATCTTATAAACATGAGTTTCAGAACTATGCAGTACTTAAACTCTAAGAAATACATGGTTTTCATGCGTTTATGAGTCTTTGCAAGCATCGGCAAGACATAGTTCAACACAAACAAAATGGATACATGTGCTTCCAAGTGAATCGTGAGACACATTTTAAGCTCACTATCAGGTCAGCTCTGAATATGGCAATGAGATCTTTACTCTTTGATATCTGTGTAGCAAATTTTTTTTTAAATATCCCACATTCATAATTTCATATAATGAATTTTTTCGGAGTTCTGAGGATTATTTAGTAAAAAGAAACGTGAAGAACTTGTTAGTGTCGAGTTAGGTCATCTTTCCACATTCAACAATGTGCAATAGTACTTGGAATAAAAAAACAAGTGTAGAAGAAGATCTAGTTGCAGATAACCCTAAGAAGACAAAAGTCAAACATAACAGATGAACTGTGATGGTAGAAGGTTTATCATTAGACAGCATATAGGAAAGTGGAAGGGTGGTAACAGACGGAGTGAGGATGATGGAACACACCATTATGATCAGAAACAGTAATGGAGGGCCTGATCCAGTATGGGCACCTATGAAGCCGGAAGCCCCTAAGCATGCACCTGCATATGATGCAAACAAAATATTCCATCAGTGTCCATGTGAAAAATAAAGATACTACAAAATGGATATATAGCCAAAAGTATACCTGCGCCCTGGTGGGTTTTCACCATTGAAGTATGTTAAGATACGCTCGAAATATTTAACGTACCTCTGGAAAAACAACAGACAAAAATTAGCCCAACACATAAGATGTAAGAAGGGTAAGTGGCAAGAAATCAAAAATATGTAGCTCTTAAAAGAAAATAGAGCAAATAATACTAACAATCTGACTTGGAAGAATAAGGCCCTTTCCATCAATACATCTTTTCTGGTTGTAGTAGTCAATAGACTCCTCAGCGGTCGGAAAAAACTGAAGAGACGGCAAATAAGTCTATAACAATAACTAAACAAGATACAATATGAAACTGAGAAATTAACTCATTTTTCCATGAGATTCTTTTTCACACTTTCAGGAAAAATACTATGCGCAAATATACCTTCAAGTAAAGAAGAAGACTGGAAATCATCAATCCTGTTCTTGCCATTCCAGCCTTGCAATGCACAACGACAACATTCTCAATATCCTCTTTCAACCATGAATAAGCGCTTCGACAAAACAACGTTATTAGCTGAATTGGTGGGCAATTATGGTCATCGAATGGAAAACTAGCCACCTGTAGACAAAATGATAAATCAAATACAGGAAGCTGTCACAACAGAACACCTTTGTTTTGATAATTACAATCCAGACACAGCACATGTACTTCAAGTGATTATCCTTTGTTTACTACGGCCTTTATTCTTTATTCTATAAAATTTTAACAAAAAAGGAAAGCACCAATATCTAGACTATCAGCTTAGTGGGGTGCCTATATCAGATCTGTTAGGATATAGAGTAATTGTGGAGTTCCAAAAAGAACATTAGAATATAACCAAATAGGACTTGTCACTTGTGTTGTTCTAGTCTCGTGAACTAAACATATGGTTCTGTTCTTCATGGTTCTTGAAAATAACATTGACTCACTCATCAAAAAAGGAGAGGTAAATTTATTGGGATTCCACTACCACCATCACCACCATCACAACCACCACTACATCCCTAACACCTAGTGGGTACCCATTGCCCGTCCCTACTTGTGAGAAAGTTGTAGTTGAATGCCATGGTTTAAGCTCAATAATAACCTAGCCACGCATCACTTCCAGCCTACCACAGTACAGATCACTAATTTGAATGGTTCAAATAAAAACTGTTGGTGCACCCACAAGTGAAAAATCATGACTCACCTTTCCTTCAAATAAGGATGCGTCATACAGCCTTTCAGAACAAAGGTTATATACTTTGTACTTGCCCTGCACATATCCCAAGATCACATATTCCAACATGTAAAAATACATTGAGAATGATATTTCTTACCATATCAGTACAATATATCATAGCAATTGGCATAAGCTTAATCACATTTCTTTAACCAACGAAGTAAATCAAGAAAGGGTATAAAACAGTCACTATATAAGAAATTTATGGATACAATTTCTAATGTCAGCAAAACCATACATAAAATGGCTAACGAAAGAAGCTGCACTTCTGTAGCTAATAAACTAAATACACAAGGGTTAAGTTCCACACAATTCAGATAAAAACACCAGCAGTTCCGAGTAAATACAATAAACGGTTGAAACATTATGCTTGGGAGATTGTCAGCGTGTGTGTCTGTTTGTTGAGTGTTTTAAAATTAATATTATCTGGAGTCTGAACCAAGATGAAACAAGATCATGACAACTTCCTTGGGACAAAAAATAAGAGTAAAACCAAAAGATGAATGAAGCTCCAAATTACTTTGCTCTGCTACACTCATATTTGGTGCATCAAGGAAGAAATCTATCTTGCACACTCCATCTCTTAAATTATTTTGAAAGGTTTCCATATAAGTTCAAATGATCAAGTAGAGACTGCACGAGTAACCTTAGTAAAAAGATACTAGATGAACTTGCGAATCACTCACTAGGCAATTAGACGAAGCCTTTCAAAAAGGAGGGAGGGGGGGGGGGGCCAGAGTTTATCTAAGTGATTAAGTATACTCAGAAACATTATGAATGGATCATCATAAGGTAATATAAAATCTTGTAAAATAAATACTAAATGAAGATTAAGCATTAAGAGGATTTTAGCAATGCTATCCAAAGATGAATATAAAGATCATGACCCAAAATGCATTATTACCTGATGATGAGTTTCAAAGAACTTAATCACTTCTTCCATATGATTTCTGTAGAATCCCTGCATTACATATAGGTAGACTGAATTTTGGTGATTCAAAGGAACAGGACAAGTGAAGTCAAATGTGGAGTATATTAATTACTAACCTCAACATATCCCAGAAACCCAGAGCTCATATCACCAGCAGGGAATCCCATAGCAATAATGTTCTCCGTAATATAAGTCATGTCCAAATCAAATCCTCCTTCCTATACACAAGGCAGAAAATTGGGTTATACAAATGCTAAAAAATTCATAACATGCAGAGACGTCTTGTTTGCTTTGAAATGACAGAGACTACTGGGCAAGTAAGCAAAAGGAAAGCAGTTTATAAATTATAACCCCTATAAAGAAGATAAAAATAAAAAAGACCACAGCAGCAAGAAATCAGTAACACAGGAGACCCACCTGGTATCTTCGTTTGTTTTGGGAGACAACATGTCGGGCCTTAACCTGAACAGCCTTCACTACACTCTTAGAAGAGTCAGCTATGCCTTTTGTAATTGTTCCAATAAAACCAGGTTGCTGAGTTGTTGGACTTCCACTTGAACCCTCATCTGCCGATGGAGCTTTTGGAGACAAGCGCAATCCTAACCCACTAGTAAAGCGTGCAAAGGGTGATTGTCCAGCATTCCCAGTTGTAGAGCTGTCCTGTGTTGGTGCTAATGGCTGAGGAATTTTCAGATTTTTGGCCCATGATGACAAGCCAGAAGAAAATGGCTTATTTGGCACATCCTGAGAATCTGATCCAGAGTCCGTGGCAGCAGGAGGTTGTGCCTGAGGAGCTTTAGTTTGAGGAGCAGTCGATGAATCAGCAGATTCTGAATCCATCCTATTACCCCAGCAACCCTGATGGAGAAATGGGTATTGAAAGTAGAAGTTCACAAATCCAGCATACGAGCTTTCTGTAGCTGAAAAGCACACGCAGAACAATTATTTTAAGACAAAAACCATGGACTTTTTATTTTCAGCCAAAAATATATAAGAAAAAACCAACATATTCCAATCTTCCTCTGTTTTCTTTCTCGCTTTCTAATCATTCTTATTCTCTCCGTGGGCTAAAACGGAAGAGAAAAAGACAAACAGAAGTGTGCAATTATGGACAATGTCCATTAGTTAATGTAGCATAAAACTGAAGCACTTACGATTAATACTATTACACTGATGATCAACCAGGCAACTATCACTCCACAAATTCAAATGACAAGAGAGACCAAAAAAAGAAAAAGCACATGACCCTAATTGCTCTACCCGTGTAAAAAAAATCCTTTTATAAATCTACGTCAAAATGAAAATAAAACATAAGAGATATCCAAGCTTAAAGACTTCAATAATGAAACAAATGGTTTTATAAACAGGTTTCCCCAAATCTAACCAACTGTTTCCAAGCTTTCCTGGCCAATCCCGCGAGTAGAAACATGGAATTCTTAGTTTCTGCAATTCCAATAGTTCTTGCTCTCCCCAAGCCAACCGTCAAAACTAAAGCCTATCTTCTTTAAATAAAAAGAATGCTCCATTTCTGGGTACAGTCAGTCTAACACACAGCCCTTGGCATGCTTAACCAAATAGAAACAAAACTTCAGCTTATCTCCAACTCACAACAATGTTGTCAATTCAAGCACCATTCTTCAAGTTACATTTCTACACATAAAAACCTATGCATATACTTATACATATACATATGAATTCCATTGAAGAAAACTATCAAAAAAATCAGATTATTCTGATGAAGTCAAATTGAAATAACCACAAGATCCGCATAAAACGAAATTAAATGAAAACACTCACTATGACAAGAAAACGCGAGCTAAGTGACTAATTAAAGAAATTTTAGAGATCTACGAATAGGATCCAATCTTACCGAGATGAAAAGCCCGAGAATTTAGAAGCCCCGAGGATCTCACACAAGTAAACTGAAGCCTGTCTAGGGTTTCACACACAGAGAGACAGAGAGAGAGGGGGAAACTGAGGCTTGGTAATCGGGCGGGTTAGCAAGGTCTTTGTGTTATCATTTTCACGTGCTTCGGTTTTGGTCAACCGAATCGACGGTGGTGATGTGACCTTGACTGTTTGATGTCTTCGGGTTAGATCGTCATCTCGCGGCAATAAAACGGTAGGATGTTGTTGGCTTGTACAGAGTAATGGCTTAAAACGGCAAGGCGCGTTGCGTTGCGTTTGTTATTTTGTCATTCCTTCCCCCTACTCTTTATTTAGTAAATACTAAATACGTATAAAATTGCAATAATTTTTCTTTTCTTTTTTTTGCCAAAAGGCAATAATTTTTCTTTTACGGCATTTTTTTTAATCAACGAGAATGGGAATCAGAACATTGGGAGGAAAAATACCACTCGACTAAAGTCTAAAAAAATACTTTCGACTAGTATTTTAAACATATATTCTTATTTTATACAATTTTTAATAATATAAAAGAGTATTAAAAAATAAATCCATTATGCATATTATATGTATGTATATAGTTTATTTATTTATTATAGGAATATGGGTACAGTAACTGTGGAGATCAATAAAATGAACAGAGAATCCTTATGTAAAAAAAGTTTATTTTCCCATTTTTTTAATAGGTGCTGAAACCCAAAAACATAATTATTGAAAATCATTTTGATAATTTATCACGTATTAGTATGAGTTAGAAAAGAAAAGCTTTCATAACGAAATTTTTTTATTTGTTCCAAGTACGCCACGTGGTTGGTGTACCATCCAATATATATAGGACGTGTGAAATTATTCTCCAACTTAATGCATTACTTTTTATGACATGTGATTGACTGCATTTTAAATATTCCACATGTACTACGTCTATTGAATGGTACACCAACTATTTGGTGTACCCAGAACACCCAGAAATTACTCAAAACTACTAAAACAGGGTCTCAAAATCAATGTTTGCTATAATTAAATAATAAATAAAAAAAATTATTTATAAAAAGCACACATTGTTTTATTATTATTTTTTGCAATGTTTTAAATTTAGTATAAATGTTTCGAGAAGATATGATTTTGACTTACAATAGTTAAATATAAGTGGTATATATTGTCACATTTGTATATTCTTGTTCTTTTTTAAACTATATCTACAAAATGTACCACTCTCATCTCGTATTTTATGTCAAAATTTCAATATGTTTTCTTGTTGATGATGGTGACGAAATTGATGATAGCGACTCTCAATAATAATTCTTTTAGACGCTTTGGTAGGGCTTGTTGTCCAGGAAATATATTACTAAGAAAGATATTTGTAAATTGTAATAGGTCCTTTGACTCGTGGGAAAATGTTAGACTAAACAAATGATTTGGCCATAGGATAAACGGAATTTGGTTTTATGGATTAATATCAGGATTTTCCTTCTTATTTTCCATCTTTAGCTTTTTCTGTTAAACTCATCAAACTCTTTTTCTGTTAAAACTCATCAAACTCCAGGGTTCGATTCTAGGAGGTCAAACATATACAAGTCAGGTAAGGTTTACTTAAGTTGTTTGGAAAGCAGATAAGAAATTCTGGGTCCACCATAAAAGCCATAATGGCTGTGCTACCATGTCATGGCCACCATGGATGATGCATATAAAACAATGGAGAGGCCAGAACCAAGCAACAAGCAAACCAAATGAGTATGCAAATCATTGTGAGATTAAATAAGAGCACAGCAGCCAATTTGTTTTGAATTGATTTGGTTACATAATTTATCTACAATAACCATTGAAACTATTTAAGGAATGAATCCCAAGTAAATGTAGATAGGGTTTGCACCAATTAGTATTTCAAAGAACACAATAGCAATTTCTTCCTTGGGGGCATGCATATTTTCCTGGGAGCAAACTCACTTTACTTTCTTCCTTGTGGTTACCCAATTTCATAGGTTTGGATCCTCAAGCACTTGGAACCTTGCCGGCAAAGTGGAAATGCCGGTTGCTTCTAGCCGGAGTTCTCTTTAGAGCTTTCACACTTAGTGGATTGTCCTTGCTCTGTTTCAGTAAAAACACAGTATCAGCAAAAGATGAAAAGGGTCACTGCAGAAAAACAAGAACATAAAGATATATGGATCTACGATTTGTTACCAATCGGCAAGTTCCAGCATCAAGGTCACAGACTGGATACTCATGAGGGCAGCAGCTGTAATGGTCATCACAGCAGGTGGCAGACTCTAGAGGGCAGCATCCCCATCCGAAGCAGAAGTTGCCGTACTCATAGGTGCAGCAGCATGTGGTTCCCAGAGGGCACGAGTAGTAGTCGTCACACACAATGGTGGGCTTCACAGGAGGAGGAGATGGTGGAGATGGGGGAGGTCTTGGGGGGTTCTGACCCTGCTTGGAAGGGTATGAGGCCTCAATGGCAATACCGCATTTGCCAGTATTGGTGCTAGCCACATTACGTTCCAACTTGATGTAACCAGCCTCTCCCCAACTTGGACCCCATGAGTTCCTCACAATCCAGTAGTCTACACCATTTTCGGTGCCATATCCAACAGCAACCACACCATGGTCAAGATCTGTTCCACAGCGTCCAGTGAAGACACCCTGAATGGACAGATAAATTAGAACTTGTCAGAGATGTCTAGTATTGATCTTGCCAATTACGTTATCAGGCTAAGAATTAAGACCGCACATGATTCTACTGATCAATGAATCAAGCCTACAATCCAACAACGTAATGGTTACGCTCCACATGAGTAGAGTTGGAATTAGGATAGAGGCCCTACCGATTGGTAGAGTTGGAATTCCCTGCCACCAGCTTCAATGGCAACACTAATTGGTTGATGTGACACAGCCTTCTTCAAGGCTTTCTCATCATTTTCTGGAACATCTTCATAACCATCAATGGACACAACCCGAGCATTTTTCTACATAAACGCAAAAGAACATTAACACAAGGATGAAATATTTTGTGCATAAATGAAAGCCAAAAGAGGTTGAATTGGATGTGTACCCTGTTAGGGTCACATGAACCATCTCGAGCATGGTAAGGGTAATCTTCCTCAGTATCAATGCCACCATTGTTGATGATGAACTGGAAAGCATAGTCCATAAGACCTCCATTGCATCCTTGGTTGTATGATCTATCACAATCCACCAATTCTTGCTCTGACAAAGAGATCAGCTCACCGGTCACAATCTTGTTTATCCCTTCCACTGCACCAACGGTTGAGAACGCCCAGCAACTCCCTTCAATCCAAAACACATAAATTCTATTACTAAGATGCAAAACGCAGCAGCAGCATTGCCTGAGGCATGCCAATACCAAGGATCACAAATTCTGTATAGTACACAGGAAAATCCCATTTGCCATAATCCTAAACTACAATTACCATATGTGAACCGTTTCGTTATGCTAATGAAAAAGCTCACATATTTTATAGGTGCAGATTATCAAGATGGACTCAATCAAAGCATTATCGACTTTTAATCTACATGCTACAATCACTTAAATATGCATAACCATCTTTTGAAGCAAAGCAAGTTTCCGACTTTTTTTCCAGGAAACATGTTTCTGTTCAACAAAAAGTAAAAGATTACAAATTTGCTGCACAAAAAGGCACTGCAATTTACAACAACACATACAAACAAGTCCTCCAGCCACAAAAACAAAAATAAAAACCAATTATGAACGAGTCTCACGCAATTTCATAAATCTGAAAAAGTAAAAATATTTTTGTTCTTCTCAAAATCGTTTCTTTCAGAGAAAAGACAAACAAACAGACCCATAACGCTTTCACTACATTCCAGGGTTCAAAGTCTGCTCAATCCAATTAGAACATGACCCCTAAAAAACATGCGCAACAACAAAAATACAGACAAAAATAAATACAAAAATAAAAAGCTCACCGCATTGGCCTTGATCCTTAACCGGAGCAACAGCGCCCTTCGCCCTCCAATCGACGGACTCGGGCAACTCATCGCCGGCCCGGTACGCGTACCGGTTACTCTTTCTCGACCCGGAAAGCCTGAACCGGCGGTCCACTTTGGCACCCAAGTAAATAGACCTGTACTCCTCGTTGGTCAGATCGGCGAACCTGTTCAAACCCACCTTGTAACTCCGGCTCTGCTTGTTGTGCTCGTCGACGAACCTGAGATTGTCCTTGAAAATCTCGAACCGCCTCTCCTTCTCGCCCAAGGCGTTGTAATTTTTGCGATGCTTGACCAGCCACGACTCGTACAAGGCCTTCACCTCGGCCTCGGTCCTGTCAGACGGGACGCCCATGCCGTGCTTTTCGTCGTAGTCGATGATCGACATGTCCATGGCCGTGGAGAGGCCAAGGAGCATGAACAAAGCCATGCAGGCCAATGAGGCCACGGCCCCAGAAGATCTTGGAGAATTTTTCATGTTTGATAAAATGTCTGTGAGAATGCGATGGGTTGAGTTGGGGTTGGTGGGTTTTTATATATATAGGACAAGAGAGAGAGGGGGTTTGGATTGGTTTGGTTTGGTTGTTTGATAGGCTGGATGTTAAGGAGAAGAGAATGAATGGGACAGCGAATTGGGATTGGTTCAGAAGACCGAAGTTGCGTTGAAATAGGAATGAGAGTCAGGTTGGTTAACGGCTGGTGGTGACCACCTCTAAATTTTGGGGAATTTGTGTGTCCGTGAGATTGGGCGTGTTTTCGGTTTGAGTTGTGCCAGGATAAGTCGCGCACGTGCACTAATTGTTAATGTACACGAGTCTGCATCTCAGTTATTTACAGTCATGGTTCGAATTCCCACATGCTTCAAACAATCCGCCAGCTAATTTTTCCCAAGAAACAACTCCCACAATGGCCAATTGCCTGTATCCGAAAAACAAAAAACAAAACCGATATTTGTGGCAGAAGCAACAAGAGGTAGTTTTAGGGTAGTTTCTAGTTTGATTGTTGCCAGTACGTATTAATTTTATGACGAAGAATCTGTGACTATTAGGTAGTTTCTAGTTTGATGGTTGCCGCTACGTATTAATTGTATGACGAGGAATCTGTGACTATCTGAGAATTTAGGCAGCAAAAGCTTTCAAAATGATGACAATTAGGCAGAATTTGGAGAAGGTCTCTTTAGAAGTAAGCACATTGCAGCACATGCTTAGATGTAGGAAACGTAGTGTTCCTAAATATTTGAAGATTGATTAACGGGAAGCGATTTTCGCACTCTTCTTTTCTCCTCATGCACTTTCCCTCTTTTATTAGCCTTAGTAATGAATAAATTAAAGGAAAATCAAGTGACAAAAACAAGGAGAGAAATGCATAAGGGGAAAATGAGAGTGTGAAAATCACTATCCTTAATTAACGACAATTGAGCACTGTCCATCATCTTATATATGCATAAATTTCTTAATTTTCTTCCCATGAATTGTGATTACCACTTTCCCACATTGGATTAAATGGAGTAAGAAAAATGTGTCGCAAGTTGAAACATACACTTTTATATTTGCTTGTACTCAACTAGATGGAGTTCACTTATTCATGAAAAAGAAACAAGATGGTTTGTAAAGAAGTTTGGGGTAGGAATAGGATCAAATCAAACCAGTCTTAATATCTACTTATGGGATTTATTACAACTTTTATCCATTCTAAAGATGAATATGATGTTTCAATCATGCTCATCATGTGTAACAAATTTCAAGCAATCCCAATATTTCTAGTCGTTCAACCTATACGTGTAGTTGTATCAAAATTATTATTTCTTTCACTTATATCAACAGATCTCTCTCTCAGCAGCCTTCCTAGTAATATCTTTCGCTTATATTAACATCACAGCACCATGATTTCCATTCCTCTGTGCATAAGGTTTTCATATTCATACACTGAAATAAATATGAAACAGAAAATTTATTCGATTTGTTTTACGACAAGTTGTAGCTTAATCGAAATCTTGTATCATTTTGCAATCTCTTCTATGAATCATACAATGAACTGAAGTAAAGTATGGAGCCTCTCCCTCTTGCTGATGTGCTTGCAGGGATAATATTGTTTTAGGTAGGCTTCAATCAGTAGAAATGTGATAATCCTCCTCTCTCTCTCTCTCTCTCTCTCTCTCTCTGTGGCATGTGTGTATTCTGCTAAACAATAAGAATCTCTCTCAATCTTTGTGCTCTAGATGTTTTGTTTTTGGTAAATTGTGCTATATGAATTGGTTATAATCTATTGGCTTTAAAACAAAAAACAAAAAAAGGCAATCTGAGTACTTTGTCTTATTATTTTTCCTGAAGATTATTCAATTTAAGTTGGGGACATATGTTCTATAATTTCTGATCTATAAGTATCCACTTGGCTTTGGATAGCAAAAGCATCTTTGATTGTTCTTAATTATCTCTGGTCCAACTTTTTTTTTTTATACTTTGTGTGCAGATTCAGTGGATGTTTTAGCTGTTACATAACATGTGAGCTATACAATTAGATTCAAGTAAAGATCATCAATGCCTTGAAGTGAGGGGAACCTACACTGACCTAAGACTGGCAGATGCATACTCTTTGTTTGTTCTTTCATTTTATCATCCACCACTGATTTGATTTGATTTCTTTTGGCAAACATCCACCACTTGTGTTTTTGGTTTGTTCTGGTTTTTTTTTTTTTTTTTTTTTTTGGGGGTAAAAGGTTTGTTCTGTTTCATTATATGGCTTTTGTACTTGTTCAATACTTTACCCTATAGATCTTGCACTCATTTGTTGGTATTGGAGAGAATGAGACACTACATAATTACCCAACCTAATCACTAATTAGTCCCATTAATTAGGCATTATCTTGCACTTTGATTTTTTCGCTTCTCAAGGCAAGGAGAAACACTTACATGAAACGAAGATAACACTATTTTGTTATTCCAGGCCAATCACGGTATGTTACGCGAGATTATTTTTTCACATGGCAATCTGTGATTGGAAGAGAAGAGCAAAACAATGTTACTCCCGTTTCATACAAGTTTTTCTTCGAGGGAAAGACAAGATTACCTAGAGGCCCTATGTATATATGACACATCTGATGACATAAACAGACAAGGTGGGGAAGCTTCCACTGCCAAAGTTAATGGCAGGCTAATTTGCAAGTGCTGCAAACTAAAATTGGAGAAAAGATATAAAAAAGTGAACTGATTTTGAAGCATCCAATTGTAAATTCTCATGATGATCAAGAACACAATGTAGCAGATGGGGTTCAAGATTATTGGAGAGGCGTCTTGTCAACTGCAAGAGCCCACTTCAGGTTTTCAGAAGAGAGCTTGTATTATTTGTTTGCTGGCATTGACAATGATAGGACAATTGAAATTTAGGTACATTCATGTGATGTGAGTGCTTTTAGTTTTAGATGGAGGGATTTGGGGTGTAGGTGCTAATCCCGTTTTGGATATCTTTCCTCCAACCAATGAGATACCATAAATCAAACTCAATGCAAATTTTGGCACCCGCTGATGCTGTTGCAGTCCTTATAAGTATCATTGGCCTACGATATTGAACCAGTGCCTTGTTTTTCTCTCTTCTCCCAACTATCTCCAGCTCTGATGAAAATCACTCTTTGAGTCATTCTCACTCACATCACATGATCAATTGGTCCTAGGCACTCAGAAACAAAGTTAACGATAACTATAAGTGGATCATATTTACTGATCACATAATTGACTACACTATATTATATATGACGTACGGTGGGTGACGTATCTATTAATTAACTGGCCATAATAATTTATGGAGTAAGTGAGTTCCAATTGCTACATAATACTACTGAATATTTATTTTAAAATGTAACAACATTGAAGTGCTTGCTTGGTTTGTCTGCTTAAGTGGCTTAATTAGTCTTTTAGCTCTCTTTAAATCCGTGACACAAACTTTTTAAAACATAACATTATTTTCTTCCTCCCTTTGCAGAACTCAAACAGCTGCTTTTGCTTTTGGTAGCAGGGACAGAGAGAGTCTACAAGGCAGGTCATTTCACACCGACAAATAAAATAAATGAGGGCACACGAGCATTATTGATGAAAGCATCAGGCCATGAAGATAATATCAATACATTATTAATGTTAAGTACGTCATTATTCAGTTTTATTCTTATCAGGTATTTAAAACATCGGGGATAAAAAGGGAAATCTTGAGGATATACGAGGGAAGAAATTGGTTCACCCTACTATATATCCTTATCGATATCTTGAAAAATGAAAATTTTGGAGAATATACTGGTGTATCGGCGTATATTTTCATCCTTAGTTATAATAATTGATAATACGATGCAACGAAAATGCTTAATATATCTCAACTTTCCTTACAGTATATTATACAAAAGAAATAAGAACAACTTTGTACCTAATGACATTAGTCTTCCCTCTTTATTATAATTGTTCTCAATTGAGTTTGGTCATCTCAAATTCATAGATTTATTTATTTTCAATCCATCAACTAGAGTGTATACTTTAACTTCCAACTGGTATTTTACCTGGCATTTTATTAGGGTATTTTACCTGGCATTTTATTAGGTACGCTTTCCTTTTCTTTTTTTCTTATTAATTGAGGGTAGGACACATGATTGGACAACTTTCATATGAGATTACTATGCCATTAACATGATTGGACTAGTTTATTTTTCGTACACACTCTTTTGGTTGATTATGAGGACAATTACATAATTCCTACTTAATTAGCCCTTAGCTCTATCCCTAACCTAAGGACTATTAAATTCGTTTATTGTTTAATCTATGCTAGGTTGAAATTGTTGTTTTTAGTTAAAGTAACATTCCTACGACCCCGAAACACACGTTCCAAATTCTCTGAATAACAACTAATGTGATGGTATTTCATTTGATCATATCTGAATATTCAATTGCGATATTAGTATGCGCGGACGAAATCGACCATCAATTTCACCCCTTTATGCCCACATGGCTGCCTAGTGTTGAAACAACCCAAAACTTTATGTCATGCTTTTGGTACCCCTCGAAAAGAAATTGTAGAAATTGCACCATGGCTTGGCTTGTGGCATAGACTTGGAAGTCAAGGGCTGAGGGGGTCATGG